ATCCTTGTAGGTTAGATGTGTTTCCTGAAGACACACAAGCAGACACTTAGCTTGTATTTTTTCATCCATTTGGCCAGCCTATGTCTCTTGAGTGGTAAGTTCAAGCCATTCACATTTATTGAGATAACTGATAGGTGGGATAGATTTCTATTCATTATGTTGGGTTGAACTTTGTTGCTTTGTTTTCTCTCTGGACCCATTGTGGTATCTGGGCTTTGATCTTTAGCTTTTGAGTAAATTTAGATTCATGAGTGTTTATTGTGCTGATCTGTGGGTAACACTGTTTTGAGTACTTCTTGAAAGGCTGGTCTTGTCTTGGTGAATTCCCTCAGTCTTTGCTTATCTGAGAATGTCTTGGTTTCTCCTTCATATACTAAACTTAGTTTTTCAGGGAATAAGATTCTAGGCTGGGCATTATTCTGTTTCAGAAGAGTGAGAATGGGGCCCCAGTCTCTCCTTGCTTGTAAAGTTTTCGTAGAGAAATCTGGCATTATTTGGATTGGCTTTCTTTGTATGTAACTTGCTTCTTTCAACTTACAGCTCTTAGAAGGGCCTCTTTAGTTGATATTTTGGTCAGTCTGATGACTACATATCGTGATGTCTTCCTGTTTGCATTGAATCTCCCAGGATTCCTCTGAGCTTCTTGTACTTATATATCGAGATTTTTACCAAGGCCTGGGAAATTTTCCTCTATTATATCTTTGAATAGCTTATCCAGCCCATAACTGTTTTCTTCTTCCCCTTCAGGTAACCATATAACCCTCACATTAGGTTTTTTCACATAATCCCACATCTCTTATAGACTTTGCTCTTTTCTCTTGTTTCTCTGCTCTATCGCAGTGACTGATTTATTTAATTGGAAGGTGTAATCTTCAATCTCTGAGATTCTTTCTTCTGTTTGATCTACCCTGTTCTTGAGACTTTCCATTGTGTTTTGTAGTTCCCTGAATTGATTCTTCATTTCCAGGAGTTCAGTTAGACTTTTCTTCATTGTTTCAATTTCTTTAGTGAATTTTTGTTCCAGGTCCTGGAGTCCTTTCAGGTTTTCTTTGTGTTGATTATCCAGTTTTTCTTGCAACTCGTTCAATTTTCTTATAATCAATGCTTGAAATTCTTCTTCTTTCATTTTAGTTTCTCATTTTGGTTGGTGTTCATTTCTAAGGGGCTGGTGTTCCTTTTTGGGGGTGTGGTTTCCTTTTGAGTTTTCATATTTCCAGAGTTCCTTCGCTGATTTCTTCCCATCTGGGTCAGTTGTTGCTTCTTTCCTTTAGGTTTTCGTTTGGGTAATGACACACCCTGTTTAGTCTCTGAGCCAGTAAGTAGGTGGTGTCTATGGATGAAATTTAACCACACCCTGTATGATGAGTCAGTAGGTGCTGTGAAAAGAGTGCACAGAGTGTCTTCCCTGTCAGTAGGTGGCACTTGTTCGGAGGAGCAGGCTACACTGTTGTTTTTGTGTCCTGTGACCAGCTCTTGTTCCTCTAGAGAGGCACTAGAGTGCCTCTCTAGGTCAGTGGGGTCCTGGGACTTCCAGGTGTGTCCTTTTCTCCCCCTCAGTGAGGGCTGGTCTGGGAGTGAGTCTGGGTGGAGCTGGGTTGGGTAAGCCTGCCCTCAGGCACCACAAATGCTGTTAGCAAGGGTCAAAGTTCTGTTCTCTGCTTCTGGAAAAAGCTATCAGGGAGGGGCTGGAATGGCCCCACTCAGTCAGAAAGTCTGCATGTGTGGGTGGGGCTGTCTGAGACCTGCAGTCTGGAGCAGGCCTTGCTTCTTTCCACCCTCCCCAACTCCGCAGCTTCTCTTGGCCTCTGCCAGCAGGCCAGACCTCAAGACACTGGATCTCCCCTGGGTGTGATGCAGGCCAGGAGGTTCCCTGCACAGGGTCCCCGCCTGGACTGGGCACACACCCCACCTTGGGAGGAGGGTTGCCCTCTAGGATGCTGATCTGCCCCTAAAGGCGCACACACCTCAGTAGGCTGTTCACGAAAATCCCTCTGTGCCTGGGCAATGCGAGACCTGGGTGCACGGGATCTGGTCCACAGGTCTGATCTCTGGGCCCCAGGATTCACTCCCTGACCCCACCAGGGAGAGGAGTGCCAGTCCCAATTCACCCACAGGGAGCCCAAGCTGGGTCTATGTCTCTCAGCCTCAGGGTCTGCCCCGTTCTCCTGGGATCACCGGGCCAGCAGCACCTGGAAGGGCTGGCAGGTAGGAGCTCACAGTCTGAGTTCCCCTCAGTCAGCTGAAGGGCCCCAAAAGGGAAGGTCCCGTTCCCTGGCAATGTCTCTGGCTCGTGGCTATATTGTCTCTGTCAGCAGCGGATAGGGTTGGGGGAGGGGAAAGCGTAGCAATATGGCACCTGCTGCGAGGCTCGGTCTGTGCACACGGAGGTGCCCTGAGGGGGTTGGGAGCCTAGTGCCGCGTCTGCTACTGGCTTACCGCTCACTGGCAGTGGCCATCTCTGGGCCGGTGTCCACAGGTCTCTCCACCCACTGGGGAGCCCACCAGCAGTCGGGGATGCAAGGGAGAGGAAAGTTAACTACTCCATCTACCCTTGCTGCTGGTCTCCAGACTACTCGGGAGGTCTCTTCTTCCAGTTCTCCTCTGCAACCTTCTCCCATGGAGTCTCCCGTAGTCTCCGGTACCCTCCTTCCAACCTTCGGCCGATGTATGCTTGTCTGCTTGCTTCTTTCTTCTAATTTCTTCTAGAAACTGTCTTCTTTGCAGAGACACTCTGTCTGGCTGTGTTTCTCGTCCACCATCTTGCTCCGCCCCCTAAAGTTCAACAAAATTTAAAATTTGCATCCCAGCTTTATAACTTGCTTAGTGAATTGGGGCAGGGATATTCTCACCCTACCCCAGCCCTCTTGTCTTCACTGTAAAATAGACATAATGCCATCTCTTTTGCATGATTTTAATCAGAACTGAATTAAACAGGTAACCTATGTAGCCCTTGGAAAATAATCGGTAAACCAAAATCATTATTTTTTACAATTATTCACTCAGCAAACAGACAGAGGCAGCATAGTGAAATGGTTGAGACTAATTGGTTTCACATCACTTACAGTGTTATGATTTTAGACAACTCATAGCATCTATTTGTGCCTTGTTTTATAGACAATGATGGGAAAATATTTATGAGACCCAAGTTGAGTAACTGGGATAATAGCAGTTTGCATTGAGCCTGGAACAGGTGTACAATACATAGAGCCCCTTCCTGACTGTGTACTGGGCATTATGCCTCAGGTGCTGGGTTGGGTCCTTGGTATTCATGAATGTGTAGGACGTGCTCTTTCCCTCACTTGGTGCTTCTCTAAATGAACCAGGTCAATTGTGAGTGTGTTCTTTATTTTAGAAATTAAACCTAAAAAATATAATGCCTCTTCATTCTAAGATTCTCAAACTGACCCCCAATCTTGAGACACATTTCATTATATTCAATATCTAATGGACATTTTTTAAACAGCAAATGATCTCTAAGGATCTTATTAAATAAAACCTTCGAACCTTGTGGTTGAGAAATCATTTTACCCCTCCCACTAAACACAGCTCCAGAGATTTATTTTGTGGTTTCTTGACTTAACTGCCTTGGACAAAGTACATTCAGTTTCATTGCTCTACATCTGTTACAGAGCTTGCTACTTCTGATTATTTGGTCACTGACGGAAATCCAGATACTCTCACAACATTGAGGGGTGAAATAAAAGTCTAGGAATCCAGTGAGAGACAACAAGTGCTAGAAATCACTCCCCCTGAACTGAGAAAAGAAAACAGGTAAGAATTTCTACTAATCTTAATCAAAGCAACTAACTGTCTTTTTCCAGCTCTAAAGAGCCTCTGCTCAGGGACATGGAGCCTATAAGGTTAGGGCAGGGATGGGAGGGGATTTATAAGGGTCAGTTAGTTTTCTTAATTTTAGGGTGGAAAGCCTAGTAGGTGCTCATGGCGCACAGGTGGAAAAAAGTTTCTCATGCAGAGATTAGGATATACAAAAGTAAAAATGTTTATTTTATCCTTTCAGGAGAGAGAATGAGTGAGTGAGAGAGAGAAAGGAAAGAGAAGGAGAGCAGGGAGATGAGGTGACATCCCAAAGAAAGAAAAGGGGGTGCCAGAATGGAGGCCAAGTGGCTTGCTGATTTCAAGGGGGACAAAGAGAAAAAAAATAGTGATGGCTGCCAGTTGATAACAAATGGGCTGCAGGATGTCAAAGTCCTTGAGTTGGTTTTCTGACCTTTCCTTGGAGATGGGGTTAATTGCAGGAGATGTGACTCTGCCCTGGAGGTATGGTTGAGGCTGTACCTTGTTCTCCTGCTATTTACTCAGGAACTCTGTAAAAGGAGATTCTCAAAAAACAATTTTAAAGAGAAAGATTTACATCTTGTTTCCATCCTTTCAGCTCTTTTCAGAAGTTACGCAAAACAGAACTCCCATGGGGTACCTGTTACTAGGAGAACTCACAGGATTGATCTTTAACTGTTACTAGAGAATTGCAGGATTAGGTATTTTCCTGTTATTTTAGCAAGGCCGCCCCTTTTATGCCCTCCGATTAAAATTAAGATTGATTAAAATTAAAGATTTCCATTTTAAAAAAATGAACTCAGAAGACTGGGTATTAGGGATAGGGGTATCTTTCTTCTATAACTGCTTTCTCCTGAGAAGGGTCATTGGCAAACGTTTTATGGGGAGAGTTCGTTTGAATCGTTAAAGGGGAGGAATTGAAAATGGATGGTCCCGAAACCTAGGTTAGAGGTGGTTTTGTATGAATGTTGTCAGATAGCAGAGGGTGTAGGGTCCAAAAATGAGAACTTAAAGTAGAGCCAGTAGGGGCACTAGCCAAGAAACCTAAGGCCACATATGGCAAGAAGAATTTACAGTTCTGAGAAGGTAGAGGGCCTCCCAGACTGTAGGCCCATGGGGATATTATAGAACGCCTGCAGTGGGGGGATGGAAAGTAAGGTTATTATTATTAGGGTTCCCAGCATGGGCAAAGAACTGACTGGCCTGGTATTTAATTAAGCTGGGCTGTGGTGGCATTCATAGAGTGACGTGAGAAGTACAAAGAGGAGGAAAAGGGTGATAAGGAGCCATATATACCACAGAATATTATCAGGAACTGGTGTCTGTGACGGACTGGACTTTCAGAGAGTTTGCATGGGAGGGTCCAGGGCCAAATTCCCAGAAGCTTAGCTGTACTGGGACTAGGGAGAATTATTTAAAAGGACCTTTCTCTATGGTTGAAGGGGGCCCAATTTGTTCTGGGAAATCCTTGAGTAAAATCTAGTCTCTAGGCTGTGAATATCGCAGTCCCCTTAAGAAAGCCGTCCAGTTAGTTTGACTGTTGGCAGAGTTAGTGTCAGGTGGAGGTGGAGAAAGATCACAAGGAAATCAAACACTTAGTATTAATAACTTGACCCCTTGAGATCAACCCTTACAGCAGTGAATAAGATTGGGCCAGGCAAGATTTAACAGTTTTAAATCCTGCGGATATTAGATAAATGTTTTTATTTCTTGAATACAGTTTAACATACCAGCAAGCCTAATAAGTTTTTTCTTAGGCTTCTAGTGTCTCCACTATTAAATGTTAGTTTGAGGTTAAAAAACAAATCCAGAATTTTGTTTTGGAGAGCCTGTCACACATTACAGGTCTAAAACATTTGTTTGAATAGAAGCAAAGTTCACTATAACAATGGTTTTCATTTAACCAAGAGTGATAGTCATAAGAAGACTTTAAAGGCAGTGCGGGAAGTTACATGGGTGTAAACTTTAACCCTCAAAGTTTAGTCAAAAACCCAACAAAGATAATATAGGGATTATTTTGTTAAGGCATAAAATCTTTGTCTCCCTCAGGCCAGTCATCAAAGAGGCAAAGGAAAACTTTCAGTAGCATAACTGTTATTGGTGGCCTTCTTGGATGCAGCTACTTTTATTGCCATATTAATTATGATCTTCAAATATTTAAACTTTAATAACAATTTTAAAATTAGTTTCATTTATCAAAGGTTACCAAGGTCACATGAACTAAAAGGCATTTGAGTTCTTCCTTATGTTCTTAATAAAGTATTTGATGTTCTTAAGATGTGGGTCTCCCCCCCTGAGATCCCTGTTGAACACTACAATTATTTGAACACCATAGTTTCAGGCTGTCAGTACCAATTTGATGGCGAGTAGATGTGCAGCCATTTTCCAGGTCCTGTGTCGTCTCGCTTTGTATTACAGGCTTAAGCTTAATCCATGATAGCATAAACGGTGCTAGTTCACTATCGTTTCTTAGGATTGAGTAATATTCCATTGTGAGTATATACCACATTTTAGTTATCCATTCATGAATTGACGGGCACGTGGGTAGTTTCCATGACCGTGCAATAGTGAATTGTGCTGCTATAAACATTCGGGTGCAGATGTCTTTATAATAGAGTAACTTGTGTTCTTTTGGATAGATGCCCAACAATGCTATTGCTGGGTCAAATGGTATTTCTATTTCTAGTTGTTTTAAGGTTGTAATGAGCATTGTAGGTGGGAAAGGATTACCTCTATCCCTTTTTAGGGAGAGGCAAAGAAACACACTGTAACCAAAATGTCTAAAAAAAAAAAAATTTTGTTAATGGGAGGTGAACAGGTGGAAGGGGGGAGAAGGGGAAGGGTACGCACTTTCATGGTGGGTGCAGGGCGCACCACTTGAAGACTGGACACGCTTGAAGCTCTGGCAGAGAGGGGTGGGGAAGGGGGCAGGGGCAAGATATGTAACCCTAACAATATTTGTACCCACAGAATTTGGGAAAAAATAAATAAATTAAAAAAAAGTATTTGATGTAAGTTCTTACTTTTTCTTTAAGCCAATTAATTAGAGTCTTTTATGTATTTTGGTAATGAAACATTACATATACATGACATATATGGCACCCAAGCATATAGACATGTAGAAGTAGACAATTTTAGGTGAAACAAGGCAGAAATTTTATAGTTTGAAGGTTCAGAGCATACCAAGGAAAGGAAAAAGTTGCATGTAAAGTTTGAATTAAGCTTTTATCAGAAGTCAAGGAAAGGAAGCCATAAGATCTTTTCCCAGCGGGGATAATTCGGAAGCACAATAAGGGGTGGGCAAAGACTTTATCTCCCAGCAGACAGAGAACCTGTGGAATACACAGGTGGGGAGGTGTATTTTACCTTTCACTCTGACATGGGGGTAGGAGAGGGAAACAAAGACCCTGGAAATTCAGAAAGAGCAGAGGATGTGTGTCTCCAGTGTTTGTTCTTACCTGTGCCAGATAGAGAGTTACCTAAGGCCTGGCCACCCCAGTGTGATGAAGTTTCGAAGGGTCTGTGGAAGATGCCAGTTCAGGCACCCACAATTCTGGAACACAGTGTGATCTCCCATTTTAGGAAGAGGGCACTCACTCTTCCAGTGTCCTTTTTTTCATAGGGCACGCGGCCCTGGAAGAGCCTACATCCTGGGCCATTTTTATTCCAGGGACCCAGTGTCATAGTGGAGGGAGGGCTCAGTTCCCATAAAGGGGCATAGTCTTCTTCCCTGGGCCTTTTGAGTAACTCTGTCTCTGGAAAATCTCTCTTAGAGCAGCAGCCACTATTTGAAAAGCTTTTTCTGCTTTCGGGGAGTCCAACTGTCAGTCCAACTGTCTTTTTCCTCTCGCCTCTCCCCATCTCGGTTATCAAAGACCTTGAAGGCCAGGTTTAAAGTTCTGCCTCTGGAGTCTGAGGCCCTTTGTCAAGTTTTTGGAATTTATGCTGAATATCAGGGCCAACTGAGAGATGAAGTTTTGCTAAGTTATTGCTAAGATGGATTGTCCTTCCTCAGTGTCAGGATCTAAATTACTAAAGAGGCAAAAGGCTTCAGACAGGTAAAGGGCTGGAATTTCATCCAGGCTTGGAGTGATTTACAATGCCTTCTGACCTTGCGGTCTCCCAGAAATGGAGTTGGTGTACAGGCAGGGAGAGAATTCTGGAATGGCCAGCCAGAGCAGGTGTGGCCAGGCAAGAGAAATGGAGAAGAAGGAGGAGGAACAGGGAAGCTGAAGGAGAAACATCCTTTGGAAAGTGGAAGCAATAAGAGAGATGCAGGAGTAAGAAGTAACATGAGGCAGGCAGAATGAAGGCCAGAAATTCTAGCAAATTTAAAGAAAGCTTGAAAGTAGAGGACTTTAGACTGTTCGACGGCCAGTGGCAATAGAAGGTCAAGTAGTAGAGCATGATCTATTAATAAGAGATCCATTCTGGGGAAAAAGAAAAGGATGTTTTAGGAATGGTCCTATGTGGAAATCTGAGAAGGCATCAGGAACTCAGATAACTGTTGGAGGTCTGAGCAGATATCAGACATCCCAAAAATCTGAGTCAGACCAAAACCTAGTGATCTCGCCAGAACACCGGCATCCCCAAGTTCTGACTCAGACTGTGAGGTATTCCCCATAGCCAGGCATCCCTAGGTCTGGGTGAAGACTGATGTTGACAGTGCCACTCCTGGGAAAGAGTGGTTTGGAAGCGGCCCTCCATGCCACCCTTCCAAGTGGTAGACCCAGCGATGGGTTTCCCTTGACCAAACCAGAAAGCTACCACTCTCCACCTTGTGCATATAACCATTCCCAAAGTTTCCAGAGACCAAGAGACTCACCAAATACCAAATGAGAGCATCGAGGATGAAGTCCTGGGAGCTGTACAGCAGAAGAGGGAGCACTCTCAGGACAAAGGCAGAAAACTGATCTTCCTCCTAGGGAGATAGAGAAGGGACTCAGTTTCCCCATGAAAGCTCAGTATCTAAAACATAGGAAGACCAAAGCTGAGTTAGACTATAGCTGAGCCTGAGGTAGGACACGGGTCAGGTGAAATCCTGATGTTATGGGACAGCATGTCCCTAAATGCTACTGCTGTGCTTGTATTGAATTAGACACCAGCAGACAGGGGATAAACTAAGAGTTTGAAATATACTAGGATTGCTTTTCTGTCTGCTGACATTGTCTGTGTAGACTGGAGACAACATTAAACTTCCATTGTCATTGTTGAGGCTTGTTTTGTCCTGCTGCTACTGCAGCTAAGAAATTGAAAGGGCTACAGATGGGTTCTTTTCACGAGAAGGGAAGAACACTGAATGAGATGCAGGCTAAGCAGCCCCCACTGACATTGTTGGAGACAAAGAAAGAACAAACTGAAACCCACAGTGAAAGATGAAGATTCATGAAAGCAGCACACTTTTTAACCGTACATGTGAACTTTGTTTTAAAGTAAGTTTCTTCCTTCAGAAAAAGTGCAGACTCATTCATTTAATGGCCACTCTCCCCCTCCCCCATGCAAGTAGAATTCCTTCTCACTACTTTACTAAAGGGCTTGTTCTCTAAAGAATCTCCTATACAGCTTCAGTAAGGGGGACATCTTTGTTTATCTTGACCTTTCCATGTCTTCAGACAACCTTAACCCACCTTTTGGAAACTTCTCCCCTGAATGCCTTGGCAAGGCACCAACCTCATTCATCCAGACCTTACGCTCTTCCTCCTCCCCAATCCCTTTACTCCTCCTCTTCCTATTTCTCCCTCTCCTTCCCTAACAAATGGAAAAACAAAACACAACAGAAAACCTAAACGTGTATGGATAGAAATAAAGATGGTTTCCTTAAACAACTTCTATCCAGCTCTCTGGATCTGCCTCCTGATCTTTAATACATATTTCATAGTCTTTTTTGGCAACATTCAGTATTTGCCATTGTGCAGTCATACTACACTGAGTTAGAGAACAATTCACTGTGAATCCAATGGAGCTCAAGTTTCAGGACCCTGTCTTGCATGTGCCCCTTCCGAGGCCTTGGAAGGGTCCCCACCTGTATTTTTCAGATGGTCACATAGTTTTATAAAATTTGCAAAAGGAAGTTATGTTGGTTCCATTCCAAAATAATAATGCAAGAAGTTTTGTGGATCCTCATTTCAGTAACATAGCATAACTAATTAAAGGTGGAGGAGGGAACACATTTAAAATCTCTGGAAATGCCCTTTCCACTCCCACTGCTTCACTTGACCAGCCTTAAAAAATAAATAAATAAAATCTCTGGAAATTATACCAAGGGCATACATCAAACAATGAAAAATTTATTCATGAAGATCTTTATTAAATATAAGAATAAATAAATAAATATTAAATTTTTACATATAGCCAGTAGACAAAACAAATTCCATAAATAAACTATTGTATTTTCCATTTGCTACCTAATATAAATTTTTAATATAAATGCAAAAGAAAAGTTTTTCACATAAAATAAAATAAAAGATTTGGGTCATGAGAGTAGTTGAATGTTAGTCACTGTTATACCAACATTCTTGTAACAAAATACTACAATAATACTTTCCTTAACGTTCTATAATGATACAGGAGTTCCATCATTTATCTTAGTGAGACATAAAGAATTTTTAGGCCTTGCTGGAGAATTTTAAGACTTTACCTTTAGAATGCAAAAGACTAGAAATTCAATTTATTCCACTTATTCTCTTGCAGTCAAGGGAACGCCCTGGACATGGCTTCAGCAAGCCACATGCTAGGCCCAGTGTGTCTCATTGAGAACACTAAAGGGCAACTGGTAGCTAATCCGGAAGCTTTGAAGACCCTGTCTGCCATTACCCAGCCTGTGGTGGTGGTGGCTATCGTGGGCCTCTCCCGCACGGGCAAGTCCTACCTGATGAACAAGCTGGCTGGGAAGAAAAAGGGTGAGTGTCACCAGCAAAGCTCAGATGATACCCTTCTGTCCACCCATACTGTCAGCATCCAGTTTGGGTACATGAGGAGACAAAGTTAGAGATGAGGATTACTATAGTCTGGATATCCTTCATTTGGCACCTTCAAATCTCATATTGAAATTTGATCTCCAATATTAAAGATGGTGACCTAATGGTAGGTGTTTGGGTCATGGGGATGGATCCCTGATGAATGACTTGGTGCCATTCTCATGATAATGAGTGAGTTCTTGCTCTTTTAGTTCCTGAGAGACCTGATAGGTATAAAGGGCCTGGCACCTCCCTCCCCTCTTTCTATTGCTTCCCCTTTCACCATGTGATCTGTACATGCAAACTCCCTTTCCCCTTCCACCATGAATAAAAGTAGTGTGAGGCCCTCACCACATGCAGGTGCTGGAGTGATGATTCCTGTACAGCCTGCAGAGCCATGAGCCAAATAAACCTCATATATATATATATATAACATATATATATCATATATATGTTAGTCTATTTAGAGTTACTATAAAGGAGTAGCTAAGGCTGGGTATGTAAAAATTGCCTAGCCTTAGCTACTCCTTTATAGTAACTCTAAATAGACTAACACAGGGATGAATACTGAAAGCTAATTTTACATTCATGGTTGGGCTTTTTATCTTCACTCTCTTCGAGAAGATGAGTCAGCTCACTAACTTTTCCTACTATGTCTTAGTTTCCCTTTTTAAAAGCATGAATCATTCCTTTCCTAAGAGTAAGGTGGTAATAATTAATATACATAATGAACTGTAATAAAATATAAGACATTTATTACAGTGTTCATATAGTAACAGCAAGTTTCCACTGATCACTAAGGTTAGAAAAATGTTTCACTCTATAGTGGATATTCATTTTTATTGTAAAATATACATAACATAAAACTTACCATTATAATCATTTTTTTTGGAGAAAAGGTCTCCCTATGTGGCTCAGGCTGGTCACAAACTCCTGCACTCAAGGAATCTCCCAAGAACCTGGGATTATAGAAACATACCACCGTCCCCTACAGCCCTTCTAACAACTTTTAATGGTACTGTCTGTGGGCTCAAGTAATTCACATTGTTGTGCAGCCATCACCACGATTCATCTCCAGAACTTTTTCATCTTCCCCAACAGAAACGTTGTACCCATTAAACAAAAGCTCCACATTCACCCCTTTCCCACCACCATTCTACGTTCTGTCTCTATGGATTTGACTATCATTACATTATGTAATGGTTAGCACTCTGGACTCTGAATTTGACTGCTATAGGAACCTCATATAAGTGGAAGCATACAATATTTGTCCTTTTGTGCCTGGCTTATTTCAATTTGCATAATATCTCAAAGGTTTAGCAATGTTGTAGCGCGTGAAAATTCTCTTCCTTTTTTAAACTGAATAATTGCATGTATATACCAACTTGTTTATCTGTTCATCTGTTGATGGACACTTGGTTAAATTCTACACTTTAGTGATTACGAATGATTCTGAAATGAACAGGGATGTACAAATATCTGAGTCCCTGCTTGCATATCTCTTGGGTTTATACCCAGAAGTGGCATTGCTGTGTCATACAGTCATTCTGTATTTAAATTTTTTAAGGAATCACTGTACTGTTTTCCACTGTGACGTATCATTTTAAATTCCCACCAGAAATACATAAGAGTTCAAGTTCTCCACATCCTCTCCAACACTTGCTTTTCTGGTATTTTGATAGTGGTCATCCTAATGATTGTGAAGTAGAATATCACTGTGGTTTTTTATTTATTTGCATTTCCCTAATGAGTTTTTACATTGAGCTTCTTTTCATGTACTTTTGGCCATTTATATATTTCTTTGGAAAAATGGTCTATGCCAGTCCTTTGCTCATTATATAATCTGATTTTTTTATTTGTGTTGCATTGTAGGAATTCTTTATATATCATGAACATCAATCCCACCTCAGACACATGTCTAGCATATATTAACTCCCATTCCATCTGATGCTTTTTTACTCTGTTGATAGTATTGTTTGATATACAAAAGTTTTTAATTTTGATTAAGACAAAGTTAGGCATTTGTTGTGTTGTCCATGGTTTTGGTCTCATATCCAAGAAAATCATTGAGAAATTCAATTTACAAAGCTCTTCCCCTATGTTTTTGTCTATGCATTTTACGGTTTTAGGTCTAACATTAGGTATTTGATCTATTTTGACATAATTTTTTTATGGTGTAAGGGTGTAAGGTAACCATCCTTTTTTTCTTCTTCTTTTTTTTTTTTCTCTTTACATATGGACATCCTGTTTTCCTAACATCATTTGTTGAAGAGATTCTCCTATCATCATTGAATGATTTTAGACCCTTTTGAGAATCATTTGGCCATATATATAAAAGTTTATTTCTAGGGTCTCTATTCTCTTCCACTGGTCTCTATGTCAGTCTTTAAGCCAGTACCACAGTTTTAATTACTTTTTATAAACAGTAAGTTTCAGAACTCAGAAAGTGTGAGACCTCAACTTTCTTTTTCCTTTTCAAGAGTCTTTTTACTATTTGGAGTTATCTTTGGAGGTATGGTGAGATTTCATATCAGAATTACGGTGGATTTTTCTATTTCTACAAAACTGTAATTTGGAATTTGGTAGGAATTGTACTGAATCCGTGTATCACTTTGGTAGTAGTGACATCTTGAAAATATTAAGTTGTCCAAGCCATGAACTCAGGATGTCTCTCTAATGATTTGTGTCTTTAATTTCTTTCAACACTATCTTACTGTTTTCACTATATGCCTTTAACTTCCTTGTTTAAGTTTATTCATGAGTAGTTGATTCTTTTGATGCTCTTATAAATGGAATCTTCTTCTTAATTTATTTTAAGATTGTTCATTGTTAGTATATAAAAGTGTTACTGTTTTCTTCATGGTGATTTTGTATGTTGCAAATTTGCCAACTCTTTTATTAGTTCCAATAGGTCCTTTGTGTAATATTTAAGGCTTTCTACACATAAGATCATGTCATCTGTGAGCAGATCATTTTACTTCTTCCTTTATATTTTGGGTGCCTCCTATTTGTTTTTCCTGCCTAGTTACTCTAGATATGACTCCCAATGCTTTTTTTTTTTGAGACAGAGTCTCACTGTATTGCCTGGGCTGGAGTGCTGTGGTGTCAGCCTAGCTCACAGCAACCTCAAATTCCTGGCTCAAGTGATCCTTCTGTCTCAGCCTTCTGAGTAGCTGAGACTACAGTCGTGCGCTACCATGCCCTTAATTTTTTCTAAATATTTTTAGTTGGCCAATTAATTTCTTTCTATTTTTGGTAGAGATGGGGTCTCGCTCTTGCTCAGGCTGGTTTCGAACTCCTGACCTTGAGCAATCCGCCCGCCTTGGCCTCACAGAGTGATAGGATTAGGCGAGAGCCACCGCACCCGGCCCCAATGCTGTATTGAACACAAGTGGCAAAGTGGGCATCCTTCTCTTGTTCCTGATCTTAAAGGAAAATCTTTCAGTCTTTCACCACTGAGTATGATGATGGCTGTGGGTTTTTCATATGTGGCCTTTATTATGTTGAGGTAGTTTCCTTATATTGCTTGTTTATTGATTGTTTCTTTCATGAAACTGTTGGATTTTTTTCATCTACTTTCTCTATTTCTCTCATTCTAAATAAGATCGATGCAGGTTGTGGTGTAGGTTATGGTTCCTAATTTTGATTATGCTAAATTTTATCTCAATTTCCTGAACTGCCTGATATTGAAATTCCACCCCCTCTTATCTCCACTCACCCTTTCAGGCTTCTCTATGGACTGCACGGTGCAGTCTCACACCAAAGGAATCTGGCTGTGGTGTGTGCCCCATCCCAACAAGCCAGACCATACCCTAGTTCTGCTTGACACCGAAGGCCTGGGAGATGTAGAGAAGGTAAGAATTGAGAATTCAATTTTGCAACATTTTCTTCTAGAATTCTTATAGTTTCATGCCTTAGGTTGAAATCTGTTATCCACCATGAATTCATTTTTGTGAGAGATGAGAGACGTGGATCCTGTTTGAGTTGGTCTAGGGTAAGAACGGTGCTCTAGCACCTCTTGTATTATCCTGGTTAGAGCTGGAGCCCATAAGTGAAGTAGCACAAGATGGAAAAGCAAGCACCACATGTTCTCACCATCAAATTGATCTTAAACACTTAAGTGCACACATAGTAATCACATTCATCAGGTATCAGGCAGATGGGAAGAGGGGGAGGGGATGGGTATATACACACCTAATTGTGCGGTGCTGTGCGCACCATTTGAGGGATGGACATGCTTGAAGCTCTGACTCGGGTGGGGCAAAGGCAATATACGTAACCTAAACATTTGTACCCCTGTAATATGCTGAATTAAAAATAATTTTTAAAAAGAAAACCCCAAAGGCAATCACAGCAACAACAAAAATAAATAAATGGGACCTGATCAAATTCAAAAGCTTCTACAAAACCAAGGAAAGTATCATGAGAGCAAACAGCCAGCCTATAATATGGGAAAAAATATTCACATGCTACACATCCGATAAAGGGCTGATAACTAGAGTCTATATAGAACTCAGGAAAACCAGCAAAAAAAAAAAGAGAAACAACCCCATTAGAAAGTGGGCAAGGACATCAAGAGACTCTTTTCAAAGGAACAGACTAATGGCCAAGAAACATATGAAGAAATGCTCAACATCTTTAATCACCAAGAAAATACAAATCAAAACCACAATGAGTTATCACTTTACTCCAATGAGAATGACTTTTATCAAAAAGCCCCCAAATAATAAATGTTGTAGTGGATGCGTGGATGTCGTGGATGAGATAGGAACACTTAAACACTGCTAGTGGGACTGCAAACTAATATAACCTCTGTGGAATGTAATATGGAGATACCTCAAAGAGCTATAAGTAAAACTACCAATTGATCCAGCATCCCATTACTGGCATCACCCAAATGAAAAAGACATTGTATAAAAAAAAAAAAGACATCTGCAAAAAATTACAGCAGCCAATAAACAAATAAACTGATTCAAATTAAGAAAGCTTTCTGGACGCAAAGAACCTGTTCAAGAGAAAACAGAAACCACAGAATTGGGAGAAAATTTTTGGAGCTACATGATAAGGGGATAGACGTAGTCTATTTTACTTTAGAACTCAGAATCAGCAAGGAAAAAACAATAAGAAACGTCAAAAATGGCAAAGGACCATGAACAGAAATCTCAAAAGAAGCAAATTAATAGCCAACAACATATGAAAAATGTTCAACATTCTCATATATCACGGAAATGCAATCAAAGACCCAATGTTGATAATACTTTACCGGTGAAATGGCCTTCTCAAAAGTCCCAACAAAATGGTGGTGTGGATGGCGGAGAGAAGGATCCTACACCTGCTGGTGACTGCAAACTAGTTAACCTCTGTGGAAAGCAAATATGGAGATACCTAAGCGATATAGACTACCATGTTGATCGGCATCCACTACTGGCTCTACCAAAGATTAAAAAGTCATTTATGAAAAAGACACTGCACTCGAATGTATAGCCAAATTCACAAATTGCAAAGCGTGGAAAACCCAAGTGCATTCAATTATGAGTGGATTAATTAAATGTGTATATGTACATGGAATATACTCAGCTTAGAAACAATGTCGGTGATCTAGGCACCGTCTGGTATATTCCTGGATACAGTGGAACCCGGATTCTACTAATGTGAAGTATCTCAAGAATGGAAAAACAGCTCAATGTCTCACATCGAATTGATATAACTGATCAAACATTTATTGTGCACATATACTGTGTGTTCCCCAAAAATAAGTCTTGCCATGAATTAAGCCCTAGGCAGGATTTCTTAGCATTTGCACAATATAAGCCTACCCGAAAATAAGACCTAGTGTGGCGGTGGCTCCAATTCTGCGACAACCCATGCACTTCGTCGTTGGCAGTAAGAGACGAGCCCTTCTCATCTGCCCCGTGATGAACAGTCTACCCAGGTGATTGGAAGTGATTGGAAGGTGGGGCAGCCCCACCACAGGTCGGGCTCCCCTGTCAGGTCAGCCACCTTGCGTCTGAAGCTGACACTTGAAGAAAATAACACCATCCCCTAAAAATAAGCCCTAGGTGTTCTTGAGGAAAAATATAAATAAACCTCTCTTATTTTTGGAAAAACATGCTAGTAGACATCCATTGGTCTTGGCAGGTGGGGAGGGGCCGGTATATCACGATAATGTGCAGGCACTGTAGGGGTATGAATACTTGAGTCTGAATTGCAATATATGTAACCTATGTGTACCCCTGTAACATGCAGGAAAAAAAATTAAATTAAAAAAAGGAATTTAAAACAGAATTCAATTTTGGAATAAGCCCTCCATATTCCCTGAATATTCTGTACACTATTTAGTTTTTCCTTAAATAAGAGCTTGCACTTAACCATAATTTTTTTTCAATGTCTGTTAAAGTGTTCTGAGGTCATGTTTGGCAATGAGAAGTGAGGAAAATATTCATAAAACAGAATCCTTGCACACAGTATGGTGATAAACAGACAGTATGTTTTTTTTTTTTTTTTTTTCTGAGCAGATCACTTTGTTGCCCAGGCTAGAGTGAGTGCCGTGGGATCAGCCTAGCTCACAGCAACCTCTAACTCCTGGGCTCAAGTGATCCTCCTGCCTCAGCTTCCCAAGTAGCTGGGACTACAGGCATGCGCCACCATGCCCGGCTATTTATTTTTTCCTATATATGTTTTGAGTGGGCCAATTAATTGCTTGCTATTTTTAGTAGAGACAGGGTCTCGCTCTCGCTCAGGCTGGTTTCCAACTCCTGACCTTGAGCGATCCTCCCAGAGTGCTAGGATTACAAGCGTGAGCCACCGTACCCGGCCAACAGACAGTATTTTGACTATTAACAACAGTTAGCTATATGAGTCAATGCAGATGCATAAAGGCAGCACAAATAAACTCAGTGTCCTGAGTCTTATACTGCAGAGACCTTTAGATATGGATTTGGGTACGGAAGCCTTATGACTTTGTGTTTAAATTTATACTCTGTCACTAACTCAGTGGCCTTTTCACATTATGAATGTGAAATTATTTGACTTCTTTTAGTCTCAGCTTACTGATGTGCAAAATGGGTGTGATGAGTCTGTATTTTCCTCATAGTATTGTTTTGAATATTTCATAAGAAAAATGATGTGTCAGGTGCATAATAATTGCTCAAGAAATAATCGCAAGTATTACTATCTTACAGTCAATTTTGCTATTACGAAAGAATAAACATTTTTAAATTTAAATTATATATAAAGCCTTGGAATGTACACCAATAATTGTTTTCCAATTATCTGCCAATGATAATAATAGGATCTGGTGAGAAACTGTATAATCCAAAAATACTACTCAAAAATTATTCAAACTTCAATCATTTCTATTTGGATTTGAGTTCCTTTTATAGGTCACTAGTCTGAAAACCATAATTTAATGAGCATGATTTTATCACTGGTCATTTGGAAAATGCTTCTGTTCAATTGCATTCTGACTTCCAGGGAGACAACCAGAATGACTCCTGGATCTTTGCCCTGGCCATCCTCCTGAGCAGCACTTTTGTGTACAACAGCGTGGGAACCATCAACCAGCAGGCCATGGACCAACTGCAGTATCCTTTTTGTGCTCCAGAACAGCCCAAATTGAGAATAAAGACCTGCCCCAATAAACCAGCTGCCAGACTGTGATTGTGAGCCTTGGTGAATCAAGCTCAAAAAGAGAAAATATTTTTAAAAATTCAAGAACAGGAGAAAGGTCCCAGTTCTTTTACTGGAGATTTGATAGTGAGTTTTAAAGACAAAGCCAAAATGAAGGATTGGAGATATGTGGAAAGAATATGGGCTGGGGTCCCTCTTCATTTTGCTGTGTTTCCTTAGTTAACTACTCAGCTTTGTGACAGAGCTGACATATCGAATTCGAGCAAAATCCTCCCCTGATATGAATAACGGTGAGGATTCAGTTGAATTTGTGAGCTTCTTCCCAGACTTTGTGTGGACACTGAGAGATGTGACCCTGAAGCTGGAGGTGGATGGACAGCCCCTCACACCAGATGAGTACCTGGAGAACTCCTTGAAGTTAAAAGAAGGTAACAGATATATTTCCTCCCTGTTTTCCAAAGAATTAACAACTTTGTGTAGGTGCTTACATTCACAGTTTTCTCTTTCTATTCACCAGGATATTTCTAAGAAGGAATTCTTGTTTAGTATTTGATTTAAAAGATTAATTTTTATTGCATTATTACTCTGGTATGAAGACAAGTTTCTTTTTTTTCCTTTTTTTTTTAGTTGACACATAATAATTGGACATGTTTATTGGATACAGAGTGGTATTTCAATAAGTGTATACAATATATAACATTAAAATCAATGTAATCAGCATATCCATCACCTCAAAAGTTTATGATACCTTTGTCTTGTGACCCTTCTAAATCCTCCCTTTTAGTGTCTTGAAGTATACAATAAATTACAGCTAACCATATTTACCCAGCAGTGCTTCAGAACGTGAGAAATCATTCCTCCTATCTAGCTGCAAATTTTTATCTGTTAACCAACATTTTCCCATTCTCCCTTCCCTGCCAGCCTTCTCACCCTCTAACACTCACAGTACTACTCGCCACTTCCATGAGATCAAATATTTTTTTCAGCTTCCACATGTGAGTGAGAATATGCAGTATTTATTTTTATGGGCCTGCCTTATTTCATTTAACATAGTGTCCTCCAGGCTTGTCTTAATGACAACAATATATGTCGTCATGAATGATAGAATTTTATTATTGTCATGGCTAAATAGTATTCCATTGTGTATATATACTGCTTTTTTTTAATGAATGCATATGTTGGTGGACATTTAGGTTGATTTCATATATTAGCTGTTACAATAGTGCTGCAATAAACATGGGAGCTCTATATCTCTTTGATATGCTGATTTTCTTTCCTTTGGATAAATATCCAGCAGTGAGATCGCTACATATGTAGTAGTTCTATTTTCAGTTTTTTGTGAAATGCCATACTAATGGCTATAATAATTTACATTGCCACTAATAATATGTAAGAGTTCCCTTTTCTATGCTTCCTAAGTAGCACAGGTTTGTTTGTTATTGTTGCTGTTGTTTTCCTTTGAGATAATAGCCATTCTAGCTGAGTAAGATGATATATCATTATGGTTTTCAAGGTTTCTTTGCATATTCTTAATAATTAGTGATGTTGAGCATTTTTTCATATTTTTCTTGGCTATTTGTCTGCTTTTGAGAAATTCTGTTGCCCACTTTTTGATGGTATCATTTAGGGGCTTTCTGGTATTTAGTTCTTTGAGTTCTTTGTATATTCTGAGTATTAGTCTTTTATCAGATGAATAGTTAATACATATGTTTGCCCATCCTATAGGTTGTCTCTTCACTCTGTTGTTTCCTTTTCTCTGCAAAGGGTTCTTAGTTGAACATAGCTGCATTTGTCTATTTTTGTTGCCTTTGTTTTTGAAGTCTTAGCCTTAAAATCTTTGCCTAGACCAATGTACTGAAGTTTTTCCCTATATTTATTTGTAATAGTTTTACAGATTTGAGTCTTACATTTAAGTCTTAATCCATTGTCAGTTGGTTTGTGTATATAGTAAGGGAGAAAGAATTAGTTTCATTTTTCTGCACATGGAAATCCAGTTTTCTGAGCAGAACTTATGGAAGAGGGTGTCCTTTCCCCACTGTACATTCTTGGCATCTTTGTCAAAAATCATTTGGCTGTAGATATAAGGATTTACTTCTGGGTTCTTTATTCTGTTCCATTAGTCTATGTGTCTGTGTTTTTACCAAAACCATGCAGTTTATTTTACTATGGCTTTGTAGTGTAGTTTGCAGTTTTTATCCACATGAATTTATGGGGTACAATTGTACTTTTGTTACATGTGCAGATTGCATAGTGGTAAAGTCAAGGCTTTTAAGGTATCCATCACCCAAATAGCATACATTGTATTCATTAAGTAATTTATCATCATCCAATACCTTCTGTCTTCCAAGTCCCCATTTTCTAACATTCCACACTCTACATCCTGTGTATACATTATATAGCTCCCACTTATAAAGAAAAACAAGCAGTCATGGTAGCGCCAATGCCTGTATCCCAGCTACTCAGGAGCTGAGCAGTAGGATCGCCTGAGCCCCCGAATGATTGCTGTGGAGCAGGCTGACGCCACGGCACCACTCAGCTGGGCACAAAGGACTCGTCCTAAAAAAAAAAAAAAAAAAAAAAGAACCAGAAGTAAATCCTTATATCTACAGCCAACTGATTTTGACAAAGACCAAGAATGTACAGTGGGGAAAGGACACCCTCTTCCATAAGTTCTGCTCAGGAAAACTGGATTTCCATGTGCAGAAAAATGAAACTAATCTTTTCCCTTACTATATACACAAACCAACTGACAATGGATTAAGACTTAAATGTAAGACTCAAAACTATAACTATTACAAATAAATATACGGAAAAACTTCAGTACATGGTCTAGGCAAAGATTTAAGGCTAAGACTTCAAAAACAAAGGCAACAAAATAGACAAATGCAGCTATGTTAACTAAGAACCTTTTGCAGAGAAAAGGAAACAACAGAGTGAAGAGACAACCTATAGATGGGAAACATATGTATTAACCTATTCATCTGATAAAAGACTAATATCTCAGATATCAAACCAAATGACTAAATACAAAAGCCCCTAAATATACCATCAAAAAGTGGCAACAGAATTTCAAAAGAATCAAATCCAGAAATATATGAAAAAACTCAACATCACTAATTATAGAATGTGCAAAGAAACCTTGAAAACCATAATGATATATCATCTTACTCAGCTAGAATGGCTATTATCTCAAAGGAAAACAACAGCACAATACAAACAAACCTGTGCTACTTAGGAAATAAAAAGGGAACTCTTGCACATTATTAGTGGCAAATGTAAATTATTATAGCCATTAGTATGGCATTTCACAAAAAACTGAAAATAGAATATCACATATTTAGCGATCTCACTGCTGGATATTTATCCAAAGGAAAGAAAATCAGCATTCAAAGAGATATAGAGCTCCCATGTTTATTGCAGCACTATGTAACAGCTTAATATATGAAATCAACTAAAGTCCACCAACATATGCATTCATTAAAAAAAAAGCAGTATATATACACAATGGAATACTATTTAGCCATGACAATAATAATTCTATCATTCATGGACAACTATATTGTTTCATTAAGACAAGCCTGGGAGGACACTATGGAATGAAATAAGGCAGGCCCATAAAAATAAAATGCATATTCTCACTCACATGTGGAAGCTGAAAAAAATATTTATCTCATGAAGGGCGAGTAGTACTGTGAGTGTTAAGAGGGTGAGAAGGCTGGCAGGGAAGGGAATGGGAAAATGTTGTTAACAGATAAAAATTTGCAGCTAGATAGGAGGAACGATTTCTCACGTTCTGAAGCACTGCTGGGTAAATATGGTTAGCTGTAATTTATTGTATACTTCAAGACACTAAAAGGCAGGATGCAAGAGGTCACAAGACAAGAGTATCATAAACTTTTGAGGTGATGGATATGCTGATTACATTGATTTGAATGGTATTACTATTGAACACTTATGAATACCACTCTGTATCCAATAAACATGTCCAATTATTATGTGTCAATAAAAAAAAAGAAAAAAGAAACTTTCTTCATACCAGAGTAATAAGCAATAAAAATTAATCTTTTAATCAAATACTAAACAAGAATTCCTTCTTAGAAATATCCTGGTGAATAGAAAAAGAAAACTGTGGAATGTAAGCACCTACACAAAGTTGTTAATTCTTTGAAAACAGGGAGGAATATACTGTTACTTCTTTTAACTTCAAGGAGTCCAGGTACTCATCGGTTGACTGTCCATCCCACCTCCAGCTTCAGGGTCACATCTCTCATGTTCACACAAAGTCTGGGAAAAGCTCACAATCAACTGAATCCTCACCGTTATCATATTCAGGGGAGGATTTGCTCGAATCGATATTCAGTCTGTCACAAAGCTGAGTAGTTAACAAGGAAACCAGCAAATGAAGAGGCCCCAGCCCATATCTTCCATATCCAATCCATTCATTTTGCTGTCTTTAAACTCACTATCAATTCCAGTAAAGCAACGGACCTTTCTCCGTTCTTCAATTTTAAAAAAATATTTTTCTTTTTGAGCTATTCACCAAGGCTCCAATCACAGCTGGCAGCTGGTTTATTTGGGCAGGTCTTTATTCTCAATTTGGCTGTTCTGGAGCACAAAAAGATACTGCAGTGGCTCATGCCTGCTGTTGATGTTCCCACTGTGTGTATGACAAAAGTGCTGCTCAGGAGATGCATGGCCAGGTGCAAAGATCCAGGAGTCTTTTGTTGTGCTCCTGGAAGTCGAAGCAATGGAACAAGCATTTTCCAAATACCAGTGAAAATCATGCTCATTAAATATGGTTTTCAACTAGTGACCTATAAAGGAACTCAAACCAAATAGAAATATTTGAAGTTTGAATAATTTTCGAGTTAGTATTTTTGATTATACATTTTCTCCACCAATCCTATTATGATCATTGGCAGATAATTGGAAAACAATTATGGTGTACATTCCCAGCTTATAATAATTTAATTAAAAATGTTTATCCGTTCGTATAAGCAAATATGTAAATAGTAATATCTTGATATTTCTTGAGCGAATATTATGCACCTGAACATCATTTTTACTTAGAAATTTCAAAACAATACTATGAGAAAATACGACTCATCGACACCATTTTGCAACATCAGTAAGCTGAGACTAAAGAACAAATAATTTCACATTCATAGTAAAAGCCATGAGTAGTGACAGAGTATAAATTTAAACACAAAGTCATTAAGCTTCCGTCCCAAATCCATATCAAAGTCTCTGCAGTATAAGACCAGGACACTGAGATTATTGTGCTGCATTTAGCATCTGCATTCGACTCATAATAGCTAACTTTGTTAATATCAAAATAGTCTGTTGGCCGGTACGGTGCCTTCACGGCCTGAATCCTAGCACTCCTGGGAGATCGCCAATGTCAGATTGGAACCACGCCTACGAGAGC